TTCTTAAGAAGAATGTCAAGGGCCGAACCAGCCTGATAATATCCACTATCAGCTCCTGAAACATTTACCCAATGCATGTAAGTATTAAATGACTCAATAGATGGGTCTTTGTTTGTGGATGATTTTAACGTTTCATGTCGTGGTAAAAATCGAGTGACAATTACAGATATGTTTAAATACAATTCATAAATGGTCACTTGCGAATGGCTTTAAATTTCCACAGATTAAGCCTCATAAGGATCCCGAACTGTTCTTAAATGGCTCTCCAATTAACGTTGTAAAGGAAGCCAAGTTTCTTGGACTGAATTTTTACAAACATTTGACCTTTTTACCACACATTAAGTATTTGAAGACTAAATGCCTGAAGGCATTAGATTTATTAAAAGTCGTGTCAAATTCAAAGTGGGGAGGGGATCAAACTACCCTCCTGCATTTGCACAGATCACTCATCCGATCAGAACTTGACTATGGCTCCATCGTATATGGTGAAGCCTGTAAAAGCAACTTGAAACTACTTGATTATATCCACCACCAAGGTCTAAGACTTTGTCTTGGGATCTTTCCGCACTTCTCCCATTGACAGTATTTACATTGAAGCTGACGAGCCTTCTCTAAACCAACGCCGTATCAAATTATCCTTGCAGTTTATTACTAAACTATATTCTAATCAGTCGAATCCTGCATATAACTGTGTCTTTAATCCCCTGTATGAGGAACTGTACAACAAAAAGTCTTCTCTTGTTCCGTCTCTGGGAATAAGAATGAAGCCTTTCCTTTCTGCTGCTGGCATTGGGCTAGAACATATTTCTCCTTCCCGTCTTCTTTCTTCTCCTCCTTGGCAATTGGTTAGGCCAGAAGTCGACCTAACATTAACCACTTTTAAAAAAATCAGAAACTAATGAATTACAATATAAACAAGAATTTAATCAGTTAAAAACTAAATATAATACATACCAATCTTTATTGACAGATGGGTCCAAGGATGGTGGCGCGGTTGCTTGTGCCACTGTCATTGGATCCAAAACAATATCTTCCCGATTACCAAATAACAGCTCTATTTTCACAGCAGAAGCTAACGCTATATTAACAGCTCTTAAATATATTAAAAAACATCCTAAATATAAACAATATATCATATTTTCAGACTCTCTTTCTTGCCTTCGGGCTATTAAAAATCTTTCTTGCAAACGTCCACTTTTACTCGATATAATTGAATTATATAATGATCTTGCTACTGGCCAATACGACATCGTCCTCTGTTGGTTACCTAGCCATGTTGGAATCTCTGGTAACACAATGGCCGATTTTGCTGCTAAGGCAGCACTCAACATATCTGTGACACCACTTCTCATTCCATACTCCGACTACAAAACAACCATTAGATCGTACATTCGTGATATGATGCAAAAGAAGTGGGACACTCAAATAGGTACTAATAAATTACATGCAATTAAACCAACTATCGGTTACACCTACTTGGGTTGTCAGTCCAGATTTGAAGAGGTCATCATGCGACGATGTCGCATTGGCCACAGCAGGTATACTCGTGTGTATTTGTTAAAAGGCGAAGATCCTCTATTCTGCATCCCTTGTGATGAAAAAATCTTGTTCAAGCATGTCTTGCTAGACTGTATTGATTTTGCCATCACAAGGGAAAAATATTTCGATGTAAAAATAATGAAGGATCTTTTTAATCATGTTGCTCCTCAATTAATCTTTGGATTTTTAAAAGAAATTGAATTAATTGATAAATTTTGATATTGTGTAGATAGTTGATTTTTAATATTAGAAGAGTTTCAGTTGCAACTCAGATGGTTAGAGGCTGTATCCTCGAGGGGGCTTAAAGCAATGTAAAATTATTGTCCTCCTGAGAGGGTACGTAAGTCCCACAACTTTCCAAGTCAATTTCGACCTACAAAAATATTTTAATGGTAGAATAATTGTTGTTTTAAATAATGGCTAAAGTTCACTACAATCACCAGTGGCTGAGTGAGTGAGTTATTATTTAACGTCACATTGGCAATATTTCAGCCATATCGTGACGAGAACACTTGACATTGAAATAGAACATATATAGAGATCATAAAACCTGCCGACAAAGGACAGTAAAGCAACTAGAGTATCTAATTGAATCTAAAACATTTTAAGCATAGGGGACAACACAATATAAAAATGGGCTATAGATCGCTAACAACTGAAGGTAGATCACCATACTAGGGACCATGGGGACTTGCAGTACATTTGCTTCCTGCATGGGCCCTAGCTGGATTTCCATCATCCCCTCAGCCGTTAGCAATTGAGATATATATAGCCATACATTAAAATTACACATATTCTACGATTAAAAAACGGAAAGTTGAAATTTACTTTGAATGTTTTGGGACTTATGTACCCTCTCAGGAGGACAATAATGTTACAGTACTTTAACACCCCTCGAGGATACAGCCACTAACAATCTGTGTTACTAATTCAAACTTCCAATCATAAAATATTTAGCTATTTACAAATCTGTTAACAAATTTAATTCTTTTAAAAAAGCAATAATTAAATGAGGACTTATATTAGTAAAACGATCCTTCATAGTTCGGGATTTGAAATAGATATCCCTTGTGATGGAGTACTCAACACAGTCAAACAAGACATGCTTGACCGTGATTCGTTCATCACAAGGGATACACAACGGAGGATCCTCACCTTTTAATAGGTACTTTAATAGGTATCTTGTGTGGCCAATACGACATCGTCGTATGATGACCTCTTCAAATCTGGACTGACAACCCAAGTAAGTTTAACCGATATAGGGTTTTATGGCATGTAATTTATTTATACCTACTTGGGTGTCCCACTTCTTTTGCATCAGATCACGGATATAAGATCTTATAGCAGCTTTGTAATCAGAGTATGGGATCAGCAGTGGTGTCACAGATTTGTTGAGTGCTGCCTTAGCAGCAATATCAGCCATTGTGTTCCCAGAAATGCCAACGTGGCTGGGTAACCAACAAAAGACGATGTCGCATTGGCCAGTAGCAAGTTCATTGTAGAATTCAATAATTTCTAATATAGGTGGATGTTTGCAAGAAAGATTTTTAATAGCCTGAAGACACGAAAGAGAATCTGAAAAGATGATATATTGTTTATATTTACGGTGTTTATTAATATATTTAAGAGCTGTTTAGATGGCGTTTGCTTCTGCTGTAAATATAGAGCTGTTTTCCGGTATTCTATAAGGTATTGTTCTGGATCCAATGACAGTGGCACATGCCACTGCGCCACCGTCCTTGGACCCATCTGTAAATAAGGATTTATATGTATTATATTTATTTCTTATGTGCGTATGTGCTTTATAAGTTGATCAAAGGTGTAATTCCTGCCCATGTGATTCAAACTGATGTTCTCGGAAATAATGTTCTGCTTTTTTCCTTGCTTTCCTAGCTTGTTTGCATTCATCGTTGAACCAGGGTTTTCGAATATGTGGAATTGCAGAGGATTTGGGTATACACTCATCAGCTATGATGTTCAGTGCATCAGAAAAACATCTGACAGGATCAGGAACGTCAATAAAAAGTTCAGATTTAAGTTTTTCAGCACACAGTGTTTCATACAAAACCCAGTCAGCCTTTTTAAAATTCCGCCTTGATGATGGAGGAGCATCAGATGGAGTAACGGGAGTTATTATAGTAGGAAAATGGTCACTTCCACAGAGGTCATCATGGACTGACCATTCGAATTCATTCAGTAGTTCTGAATTGGTGATTGACAAGTCGAGAGCAGAAAATGTTCCTGTTCCAGGGTGTAGATAAGTGCTGGAACCATCATTATATATGCACTCATTATATATGCACAGATCATTATCTGAGCAGAACTCTTCCCATAGTTTACCCTTAGCATTAGTAGTTGTACTACCCCCTGGAGGGTTGTGGCCATTAAAATCCCCCATAATGATACAGGGTTTTGGTAACTGATCGTATAAATTTTGAAGATCAGTCTTCTGAAAGGTTGAAGATGGTGAGATATAAATAGAACATAATGTAAATGCAACGTGCAATGAAAGTCGCACTGCAACTGCTTGGAGATTTGTAGTAAATGTAATAGGGCTATGGATAACATTATGGTTAACTAGGATTGAAGATCCTCAAGTGGCGCTATCACCCGGGGGCGAAAAACAATGATATGCCTTAAAATGATGCAGGTCAAAAGTATCTGTCTGTTTTAAATACGTTTCCTGCAGACAGGGGGCTGATGGTATTAAATCCTGGACTAAAAGCTGCAATTCGTTGAAATTAGTCCTTATTCCTCTGCAATTCCACTGAACGATAGTATTATGATAACCTATCTTTTGGGTGGATTTATTGGGGATCGACCCCGCACTTTTTTGTTGGGCGACAAGCTGTGTGCCCTAGAACGGACGTTTTCGGACACGTCCATATCCTCAATAGATCCATATCTGTTGAACAATTGAATTTTATTTTCTGAGCCTTTAGGGCCTCTGCCACTTAGCTTTTTCAATGAATCTGGCTTTTTACCTTTGCTTTTAGCGGTTTGTTGAGACCTTACTGTTGACTGAGTGGATGGTTCATGGTCAGAGGATGCCTCCGACTGGATTCGGGATGTACTAGGAAGTGGTTCAGCTGTCTGAGTAGATATGGCAGTTGAAATATTTGAGGAGAATCTGTTGTAACCCATGTTAAGTTGGTCTGACAACTTGCAGATAATTTTGTGACTGTAGAGTTTGCTTCTGACGTTCTGGCAATGGAAGCATAGCTTTGTGTTGGTTCTTTGCCTTGGACCAACTTCTTTGCATCTGCAAAACTAATATTTTGGGTGAATTTAATTCTGTTGATGGCCATTTGCTCTTTCCAAATAGGACAGTCTTTAGAGAATGATGGATAGTCCCCTGAGCAGTTAGTACATTTTTTTGTAGCACTGTCACAATCTTCTGTTGTGTGTGTCTTTCCACCGCAGTGAGCACAAACAACAGACAATGTGCAAGTATTCACGCCATGACCGAACTTTTGGCACTTGAAGCACCTAAGGGGATTCGGAATGTAAGTGTCAACAGTGAGGTTACAGTAGCCTGCCTTCAGCGATTTGGGGGCAGTAGGTAAGGAAAAGGAAAACAGATAGGTGTTGGTTTTTATGGTTTCATTATTTTTACGGGTTGTAAAACGCTTAACATATAACACACCCTGATCTCTCATCTCGGAGACAATATCCAGTTCCGACATGTCAGCCAGCAACCGATCACGGTCTCTGACGATTCCTTTGCTTGTGTTAAGTGTTTTGTGGGCCGTGACAGTGACTGGAATGCCGACAAAAGTTTCAATCTTCAACAGGTTGTTTGACTGGAGCCTTTTGCCGCACTCAATCAACAGCGCACCAGAACGTAATCGTTTAATAGTCTTCACATCTCCGGCAATGCCTTGGATACACTTTGATACAGCAAATGGGTTTAACTTCAACGGTGTCTTATCTTCGGTCGCAAGAACAAGAAAACGTGGCCAGTAATCGATTGAATTGGGCAGTCTAAGTTCGTTGTCAATAGGATCAGTATCAAGCTGACGTTTGTTTTTTTTCTGGGGAGTTTCGTAAGCCATAGCTAATAGATTATGGTTCAACATCCGAGCTCCCCACCCTCCACGGAGTATCACAAGGACAATGCTAAAAAACAAGTGGGTCTCCGACTTGCAGCACCAAGGATACTCGGATGATATACTCCAGCAGAAGAGTTAGAAATAACTAATCTACCAGATTGGCCCATGAGCCACCGCCTTCTGGGCATAAGACTCTAGGCAAAGTTAATAATAACAAATTTCAAAATCACAAACGTTTTAGATGAACAATGATGCCAAGTCCGAAACTGAAACAATTCCAAATCAAATGTGTGCAATGACATATAGATATATATATATAGTCCATACGCAGGGCTTGGCGTGACCAGCCGATTGGTTGAACCGGGCCCATTCAACCACCAGTCTAGGTGAAGTCAGGGCCGAAGTGGTGTGTTGGGCAGAGGAACACTGTTCCTGGAACCAGTGCCCTCAACCACCAGAATCCCTTCCTCCACCGACACAGGGGCGCAACCCACGGCAAACGGGTTGGTGGACCAAATATCCCCCCGGGTCTACAACGGGGGGGTCGAAGGGCGCTTAGCGTGACCCAGCACCGACCACGAGGAGGTGGACCAGTGGCTGAAGGGATGGTGTAAATCCAGCTAGGGTCCATGCAGGTAGCCAAAGTAATGTACGTCCCCATGGTCCCTAGCATGGTGATCAGCCTTCAGTTGCTGGCGATATATAGCCCATTTTTACATTGTATTGTCCAAAAATAGTTTTCTCCTTTTAAAGATAAATGCTAGCTAGTTTTAACTCATTTTGTGATAATCTAGTGGTTTTACTGTCCTTCGTTGACAGGGTTTTATATATTATATGCATGTATTGTAAATTTAGAACTAGTTTTAGTCACTATATGGCTGAAATATTGCCGACGTGACTTTAAATTTTAACTCACTCGATCACTCACTCACTCACTCACTCACTACATAGTCATATAAACAAAAGACTAAAGTCAACAGAGCAAATCATTTTGCTGTCAAAACAGCAGGTTAACGTGTTTGATCGTACTCTAAAGAGAATGTTCAGTTCAACAATATAGATCTCCCCATTGATGACAAAACCACAATCTACGTAGCATCCATTTCCAAGGTGTGATATATAGAGATTACTAAACGAGTGTCTGTCAGATACCATTTATCTTACAACGAGTTGTTTCATAACGTATTTAACGAGCGAAAGCGAGTTAAATACGTTTTGAAACAACGAGTATGGTATCTGGCAGACACGAATACAGTAATCTGTTTCTTACACACTATAATGTTTTCTCATCGTAGCTGCGCAATAATACACAACAAAACGTTTATGAATGAGTGACGTCACTTGGCTTCCTAATCACTACTCATCCCCATAGTGACCCTCCACAAGAAAGTTTCCGCCACCTCTTCGCATCATCAAGGCAATAGTGATAATGAAAACTAGATAAGATCACGGAAAATTAATAAACCCTCTAAAACGATGATGTTACCATGCAAATGTGGATGATTTTAATTCTTGCAAGCGTAAAATATTTGACCGTGTGACGGCATCGTTATCGCTTGGTGGTTGTCGTCATCGAAAGGTTGTTGTTTTGGATATCTCTGCACATTGGGGATCTGTACTTGTGTACCAATTTACGTTAAATGTTCTCCCATCGACCGGAGCCAAAACTTTCGAGTGTGTGTAATTAGGTGCACCCAGTGTGCTTGAATGTGACATTGCTGAGGTTACCTTTACTATCAATGGGGGACTACTCTTCTTCGCCACATCCTTCTCGTTTTCCCGAGCCATAAACTGCCACTTGGAATGTAATGGAATTTACGGAGTTTTCAGTATGAAATGTGAGTTGATTACTTCCTGTAATGTTATCAAGACATAAACTTTGCCTTATCATTCGTCGGGGGGATATCTTGAGCAATCATGACTTATGTGTAGATCAACCGTTCCTGTACATGTTCGATTGAATAGAAAGGACGTGTGTCGCCATTTGCACTCATGAACCCTTGCAATGTGTGAAGCCCATTTCTGGTGTCCCCCGCTGTGATCTTGCTGGAATATTGTTAAAAGCAGCGTAAAACCAAACTCAGTCAGCCAGTCACGATGGAGTAGCCAATCACGGGATTAGAAATCGATCTCATACATATGTGTGATACCAGTTTTCTCACATGGGTTTCTCACCCACTGGTGTGTAAGAAAACCTTTTTCAAATGCTCTGATGGGTTAAAGGTGGCCCAGTGTTCTGAACGTGCTGTTTTTCACTGTGCACAGTTACATCCATTATGCATGCAAGGAATATGTGACCGAATTTTCGAATCCTATGTTGCCCTGGCTATGTTTCTGGGAAATCCTCCCATGTCGAGATGACAAACGTGGAACAATTGACATACTGTTCAACTGGACGCTAAACCACATTCCCTCACTAATTAATAATGGTTTTATGACACATACAGGTTGATACCAGAATCTCCCCGCTGGCTTATCAGCAAGAAGAGATATGTAATGGCGGATGCTGTGATATGCCATGCCGCAAAAGTCAACAAAGTAACATTGACCTCTGACCACTTCATTGGAAATATTCTGGTCAGCGACAGATCAGAACCTTTGTGGAGCATACTAACAAGCCCCTCCCTGGTAACAAGAAGCAGCATTATATTCCTAAATTGGTACGTTTTCCATCATCCGTCACTATTACTCACGTGAAACGACTTTTCTGGCATGTCATGTATGTATAATGGTATCTGTCATACAAATAGCTTAAAAATATTATGTTCCTGTCAATAGACCCTTTGATAATTTCTTAGGTTGTGAAATCATGGTTAATGTATTTGCTACCAACATATCTTCTACTGATGGAATATCTCGTGTTTTCTCAACTGAACCTTCATGCAGAGCTATTTGTTGGTTTCATTCATATAAACTGTTATCGCATGATATTACCTTATAAAACATTGTAACTGTATGGAACAATGCCAGATATGATTTTCAAGAATCTCTTACAGGGGGACAAAACTAGGGGCACTGTTGTCCCTTTATGGACTAAATGGGCAAATGCCATCATACCGCTCTTAATAACTACTCGCTCATCTAAATCAATCGGCGTTTTCCGGAAAAAATAATCATTAACTGATTATACTGAGGCTAATGTATGAGGATCTCTTCCTTATTATGGTCATATTAGTATTTTGCTGATGAACGTTATGACATTGTCAAATTGTATGTACACTATTTTGGATGTGGTCAACTGTCAAATTATGTTGGCATAACCCTTTACACCATTGTTTCAGTGAAGTGTTTGTGTATAGTTCGATAATACCTGGCAATATTCGTTCAGGTTTGTGTGCAGTCTCGGGTATTTTGGTCTTGGTCTCAATGTGGCAAGTCTAGGGGGCAGCGTCTACGTCAACAGCCTCATCGCAGGAACGACAGAATTCGTCTCCTTCATCGCCTGCCTTCTCCTCCTCGACCGCACCGGCAGAAAGTCCTTACATTGTGTGTGCATGATCCTTGGCGGTATCTGCTGTACAGCCACAATCCTTCCTGTCCTGTATGGAGCTTGGGGTAAGGAGTTCACAGCTGGTTCTTGACCCTTAACTTATTACCCTTTGCTTAGGCAACATGAGCAAGAGATTACCGAGCTGACAAAGGCTACGTTTCATCTTCTGGCACAGCCACAATCATTCCTGTCCTGTATGGAGCTGGGGGTAAGGAGTTCACAGCTGGCTCTAGATCCTTAGCTTATGAATGGCAACATGAACCAGAGGTTACTGCTCTGTAAGGAGTTTACTTACTTTGCTTCTTTTGCCACCGCTACAATCTTTCCCGTCCTGTATGGAGCTGGGGGTAAGGCGTAATGGGAGGAGGAGAATGTTGATTGTTTTGCGCTTTGGCATCTGTTGATATTTAAGATCAACGACCGTAAATGTTGAAATTAACGCAAGAGTGAATTAAATGCGACAACTTCGCAATCGTGATCCAAAAATGACTGTTAAGATTAAGGCAATATAGAAACCAACAGTTCTCTTGTATGTCAGTGGCAATATGTTATTCAATCTCTAGAAGATTCATGTGGCTTTCCCGTGAGTTGCTTTATCTGTGGTCATTTCTTCTACTCACTCGTTGCAAACTATAAGCATCAGTCATCTGAATTATTATTTGTCAAGAGAAAACAACCTTACCTATCAGGCCAAATTCCCATTGCTTCTGACACGTATTTCAATTCATTGTTTATAAGGGGGAACTGTGTTTCAAAATAGGAACAAAACATGCCGGAATTGTTGGTTTTAGCTTTGTATTATGGCCGTGAGTTTTCTTGGGAAATATTACGTTTATTAAGTTTTAGGTGATGTCGCTTTGGCGATGTTGGTAACAAATTTGAACTGATCGATATGCACATCTAAGAGCACATGTGTCACAAATGCATACAGGTCTATAAATAGGTCTATAATTACGATATTGGACTTACGGCCCGTGTAAACATGAAGAAAGATGGTGCGGGATTTATTCATCAGAGAAATGTCGTGATGGGAGTGTTTCGAAAAGGCTGTTTGTCCCTGTATCTCGTTGTTCCAAAAAGTCTTCACTGTTCTTAAACCGATGATGCTTGTATTTTAGTGATTCCCCTACCTAGTTCTGTATGGCCTGCTTTCCGATGTTGTTTAAAATCACTGTCAACAATATTCGAGTTATATTAAGGCATCTGTTAGGAGAAAATTCAGTGATGATTTTGGGAAGTCTTTTTCTGTGTATGTTGACACAGCTCTATTCTCTAGTTCGACTGGCATGAACAGTGATTTTGAGTTTTGACGAAACAAGAAAAAAATGTATTTTATGTTTTCCCGGCAGATCTCAAATGGCTGACCATACTGCTTGCACTTCTGGGACGGGGTTTCGTATCTGCAAGCTTTGCAATAGTCATACTTTACACTTCTGAGCTGTTTCCAACGGTCCTCAGGAACTCAGTAATGGCGTCCGCAAGTATATGTTCCAGAATTGGAGGAGTCATATCCCCTTATATCGCCAACCTGGTAATTTAACTTTGGTTTCTATTTTATTACAACAAAAAGATGTCAAACTCTGACAGTTATTTCTCAGAGACATCTATCCCGAGTAGTTTCTTCGTTTGAAAATTTATTTGAAGTTTTGTCAATCTGTTCACGTTACTTGGGCGTGTAAATGAATAGTGGACCATATAAATAGATTTTGGGTATACATGATGGATTTATTTCATGGATAAGAGGAGAATGTTCTCATTTGGCTACTACTGTTGACTCCGGTGTTACCCTGATCTGATGGGACGTTGGAATTGCCCTTACCCACATCGTTGTTAGTTGCTCCTTCCCTGAGCCTGAGTTTACTGTTGTGCAGTCACCCAACAGACAAAATGCATGGAAACCTTGCACTTATGTAATACAGAACGTCAGAGCCAAATAACACCCAGTCGTCACCACCTCAGAATTTCCGTCTAGTGCAAACGGCAAAAAAGCTGCGAATATTACATGAATGGATCACTGAGAACAAGTGATGGCACCAGGTGTTCCCACAGGGTCCACAACACACAAATTTGGCCCCAAATGGAAGCACCCTGTGCCCAACGCCTCACAGCAGTACTCCTGCCACGCGGCGAAGGCCTGGTAACCAACCAGACAATCCAGCGACAGATGAACTTGAAAATCCAGACAGATACTTTCTAAGTACGACTGCAGTAGCACAGAGACTCCTAATAGAATCTTTTATAAACAGTGTTTATATTGCATGTACTGACGTGGAAGAGGCACTTTGGCGACAGTGCATGATGTTAAGCTCGACTCTGCTGAGATTTGGCAACTGTAACAATGGTGATATACTTGACAACCGAAGTATGTACCTGTTGTGTAATTGTCGAAATATCATTACTTTTACGTTGAGTATAATTGGAAATAAAATGAATGATACTATTGGTGGAAGCCCTGGTGCTAATGCAGGATAGATGTTTGTTTAGCACTGCAGCATCGATTCAAACTACAAATTCATTCTTCCCGAGAACGATTTAATTCCAGTAAATCTGAACGTACATAATGCACAGACATGAGCATTATTTGATCACCACCCGAATCCAAGATAAACGTTTACAATGTGGTCGAAACAGGCAATCATGAATTGTGTAGCCATAATGGAATGCACATGTAAAACTATGAGTATCATGGTCACGTGCTGCGAAGGTGCCAAGCAAATTGTTATATCATATTTGTAGTATGAGCACAACATTTTTCTGAACTGATATGAAAGATGACAGTAATAAAAATTAACGTTTCTTGACAAAGCAAGACGTAGACACATTGTCAAGTGTTTGGTATACATCACGCAAGGATGTCTTGTCGAAACATCGATGCTACTTTGACCACATTAACCACACGTTTTATAGTCGACTTGTCAGGAAGCATGTAGTCACCAATCAGGTAAAGGATCGTCCATGACCTGGAAGACTACTGACCGTGATGACCGAGTTCTAATTCCACTGACAAGTTGCAAGCCTGTGACCCATGCCTAAAGAATGCGCCGACCATATAGAGTGGGAGTCCGACCATAAGAAAGGGGCATCGGGCTGCTGGTCTTCGGCACAGGCGGGAAAGTCTGGCTCCAAGAAAACTGAAAGTTTAGGACATGGCAGAGGCTTCATTGGTCTTTATCTTCAGCACGTTCCCGACGTATTGAGACGTCATAGCGAGGCATATTAGCAAGAGATGATCCATGCAGTCCTTTGGTGGTGGCTCAGTGGTGCAAGAAACTTGGTACCAAATTGCAATTTCAGCGTATGTTTTGTTTTGTTTTGATTTGTTTAAAATATGTTACAGTTTCCAATAAGAGTTAAATCTGGTTCCTTTGTAATACGCCAAATTTGGTTTGCAATTCATATACAACATGATATGTGTGGTGCTTCAAAATGCGCATGTGTACTGCTAATAAACAAAGGCATTTCCATTCCATCAAAGGCACTCGTGTTACCTGGCGACTTGGGTCGAGCAGTTCCACTGATTATATTCGGGCTATCGATGGTTGGGGCTGGTTCGTTGGCATTACTTCTACCGGAGACCCTAAACAGAAACCTCCCAGAGTCCATTGATGACGCCAAGAAGATGAGGAGGTAGCTCTCATACACTTTGAAGTTTTGGTTTCTGGCCTACCACAGTACACTGCTTTGCTAAATGATCCACAGCAGTACACAAAACATGTTTCTAGCGTACTTTCTAGAATGTAAACACACATTGTTTGAATTCCTGTTTTACTTACAGGTGTAAATCAAACTAGGGCCCATGTAGGTAGCGAAGGTACTGTAAGTCCCCATGGTCCCTAGTATGGTGATCTACCTTCTGTTTTTGACGATCTATTGTATATTGTATTGTCCAAATTGTGCTATTAGTTTTAACTTTCCACACTAGTTTTAATTCTAATTGTGATATTCTAGTCGTTTTACTGTCCTTTGATGACAGTTTTTTATAATATACACAATTTCCATCTCAATGTCAAATATGTTCTCGTCAAGATATGGCTGAAATATTGCCGATGAGACGTTAAATATTAACTCACTCACTCACTGTTTTACTTCCAAGTCATCCGAACGCGTGTCAAATTTGACACTCATAATGACTGACTGAGTTTGGTTTTACGCCAGCATCATCACGGCGGGGACACCAAAAATGGGCTTCACACATTTGTACCCATGTGGGGATTCGAACGTGACAAGCCAACGCTTTAACCACTTGGCTATACTCATCATAATATAACACAAACGTTCTTTCAGGATCAATCCCAAGTTAGATGAATCCCAGGATAATGGACACGACGAGGAAGTGATACACTGAACGTCGAACTAACTGGAGGAAGGCATCTTCTTGGACCACATTTAGGATGGCATTTGACGATTGATTCTTATTTTACCTATGTCGTACAGCGTCCGCTAGTAAAATGTCAAAAGTGTCGGCATGTTGAAACCAAACTGGACGCCAATTCGCCGTCAGTTCTAAAAGCCACCAGAAGCCGTTTCGAATCAACATTACTCACTTATTCTGTTAATTAATATGCCTCCCATACTGCCCATAATTCGTGTATACGGCCGCCTTTTCTTCAAAATAATTATATTTCATTACTATTGTACTTCTTTCTTAGCCACGCAAATAAAATTAACTTTTGTTTGCTCTGGGATTCTATATGGAGACTAGCAACTTTGTTCAACTACATCTGCAACCCATGTATTTGTTCCAGTTGAAATGCTGCGCTCACTAAATTTTGTAAATAAACAGCTTGCAACAAAACATACATTGTGCCTGACAATTTTCCGTTTTATTTAAACAGTCAGAAGTACATGCATTTTACAAGACATTATCGGAGATCATTACTCTTCTCAAGATAATCGCTCGTCACTATATGGCGGACATATTGCCAAGATGACGGCAAATTTTAACTCACTCACGCACTCACTCACTCAAGGATATCGAAGTATTAACATATTTATTGTGTGGAAAATGGCATATAAAGAAGGTGGCAATAATAATACCCGCTTGTTTTTGTTATTAAGATTCAAGAATAATAGGCATGTGACGTAAAATGTTAACTCACTCACTCAAGGAAATCTAAGTCATAACATATTTATTGTGTGGAAAATGGCATATAAAAGAAATAGGCAATAATAATACGCATCGCTGTGACTTTGAACTTTTCGAATGTCGTAACGTTTTGGTTTTTTCATTAAGATTCGGGAATAATAGGCATGTTATTCTATCATTCGCAGACAGTATTTAAAAGCCCATGTGAAAATGCCGTTTCTCAGTATTTCTTTGTAAACTTGTCAAAGTAATTTTGTCCCATGTACTACATTGCAATTTTGATGCCTTGGTCATTGATAGGACATAGGTTTAGTTTCCGATATATAACACGTATTGACACGAAAATACTAATGAGTGCGTCAGTTTTGGCTCAAGCTACTGAGGACGGTTACCATATACCATGGCCACCTGTTTTATACAGAAGATAAGTGAAGTATTAGTCACCATAATTCATCCATCAGCTCAGCCACAGTTGACAGTTTGCAAAAGAAAATTATTAATATAATCATTTTAACAAATTGCTGTCCGTGTTTTTCGAAGCACAGTAATCTCTTGTCCCTCAATTCTGACTGTCACGCTGAAAGGAAGAGGCATGTGACGTACACGGTTGATGTAGCAGTAGACGACGCTAGAGTATGCTGCAGGCCAGAGGACATTGCAAGCACATTTGTGCAGTATTACTGTATTTGCTTTGTTCAAAGTTTCAACAACAAGTGGCTTGTTAAGTGGAGAAATCTGTACACAAAGATTGCAATCATTTCACAAGGGCAAACTCAATACAGGTAGCTGATCTTGTGCACCGGTGAACTAGGGATTATATTTGACCCACGACAAGTTAGATGTCGCAGACTGACACATTTTCCTGACTATTTCCGTATTTCGTGGTAACACCACCCTTGAGCTAATACTTTACAAGTTGCTCAAATATTTCCTCAAGCAAATCCGTTTGCTGTTAATCATGATTATCTTCAGTTGACCAATACTTAATATGTTCGAATATATCAGAAATATCTGATATAAGAAATAAACTGACGCACTTATTAGTATTTTCCTGTCAATACTCACGTTATATATCCGTAAATAATGGAAGAGTCTTCTGGGGACATTCAAAGTCCACCACTAAGATACGGAAGAAAATATGAAAAGGTGGCGATTACAGCTTTTCAAAGTCAAGTGGTGTCAAAATCTCACCATGTGATAGATATGTTTGTGTCCGATGTTCAAGCATTCCTCGTCTCGCAACCCGTGCAGATCTCGGTTAGAATTGGTCTTCAGCAACCCATGCTTGTCGTAAGAGACGACGAACGGGATCGGTTGACACGTCATCAAATGCTAATTGCGTAGATCGATGTTCATGCTGTTGATCACTGAGTTGTCTGGTCCAGACTGGAATATTTACAGACCACCGCCATATAGCCTGAATATTGCTAAGTGCGGCGTTTAACAACAAACAAACCAAGCCATTCCATTCCGCGCACTTTCACCAGATTCAGCTCTTGGAAACGATACCACTGTTGAAGCAAAATGTCCCTTTGCATCTAATCTCTGAGATAACTGTTCCATATTTGAAAGTATCTGAGGGCAAACTGACGTCAACAACAGCAAGCCAAGGGTAGCTCTAATGCACTGGTAGAAAACAGGACATACTTTATATATTCACACTGAAGGATTTCTCTATAACTCAGGATGATCGTTTCATTTTAGAACAAGTTTTTCAAAAAGACATTTCTTAATAGAGATTTTGACAGATATTCATGTTAAGTTACAAAATACTGCCATACATAATATTACCATGTATAATGCACTTGACAATACTCAAAAACAACCAGTCCAAATAAATTAAGACAGACTGGATTATAGTTTCAGTTTTTAATGCTGAACTTATTTTATGCCGCATGTTTGAACATTCATGTACAGAGATGAATATGGTTAATGAAACAGCAGGGCTAAATTTCAGTAACTTGATTAAACTATCGCAAATGACTGGTGCCATAAAATTAGTTGCACTGGACCAAATCAGATCTCACTCTGGATCCAAACATAGATGCTATCACTAGGCTAAATACATACAGTTTCTGTAACATGTAATAGTGAGGACATAATATAGAGTTACCCACTGTTTGAAGACGCCAAGCAAATAAATACACGACAGAATACACATAACACTCGGATTAATCTTCAAAGGTCAATGTTGTGTGGGCATACTTTTATGCCTCAGGAATGGTCATTTCTACATGTGCCTAGTGAAATTGAGGCATACATTGGGGTGCATTTTTCAGTGACAAGTTGCTCTGGATCCAAATCAAGCTCTGTCATTTCTTTCTATAAAAGACTCGTGAAGATAAGGGTTAGGATTGGTCTTCAGTAACCAATGCTTGTCATAAGAGGCGACTAACAGGATCGGTGATCAGCTCGCTAACTTGATTGACACGTGTCATCGTATCCCAATTGCGTGGATCGAAGCTCTTGTTGCTGATTACAGTTTTCAAAAGTGAGTCTTGGTTCATCAGTCTACTGTCTATGGACATTGTAGTGTGCTTTGGTTTTAACTGTAGCTGGACATTGACGTCGAGAACAATTACAATCATTGAATTACATTCAGTATGAATATAGCCACGCCCATCTTTGGGGGGATTAAACTGCAAGTTTCTACGTTATAATAATTCAGTATCGTGTCACTTTTTTGAATTCTATAATACGTGTGCTTTAATTTGGAAATTCATTCGTATCAAGGTGAAGATTATATTTACATGTACAGCAAACCATTATGTTTTATGTACTAGTTGTGTGCGTAAAATGTATATGAAAATAAATATATCTCTACTCAACGGTTGGATTTCAATCACTTTCTTTTACTTATCGAAAAACACTAAAATGTGTTTTCGATCTCTGAGATCTATCTACTCCTATTTGTCTTATGTGTATTATTTCATAGATCGTTATGATTATGTATGTTTTCAATACACAAACCGTTACATGATAGCTTGAATTGATAAAGCCGAAAGCCAGCATATCGATTGGTCAGCGATATAGCCAATAATCAATCTCTATCCAAGCTGTTGAGTGAGCAAACGTGCTCTTCAAAAATTTCGCCCGCGCCCCATCACCTGTCCCTTCCTCTGTGACAGGTACCTCATGATACGATCGGCCACAGATAACAAATGATCAGCCACTATATTGAACAGTTGAGATGCCGAACGTTCTAATCGGGAAATTTGATGACGCCCTATCACGTGACTCTTTGTTTTTGTCTATACTATGAATATGTGTTATGCATTTTTTATATTTGTGTTCGTATGATAACGTATGTTGTTTGCATTACATCTAGATGAAACATTGTTTGCATTACATCTAGATGAAACAAAGTGCCAAGCTATGAATGTGCTCTATGTTAGTCACAGACTAGCGTAATAGTACTTTCCTTAAAATATTCAGTATACACTAGAAATGTTTTGGCAAAAAACGCTAATATCGTAGCATATTATAAAACATGTAATTAAAATCTTCTTTACAGTCTGTCATTGTCAGATAGGTTTTGTAAAATTAAACCTCACACAATGATATAAAGAAAGAATTTGTTTATGTATGTCTGATCTCTTACATACAAAAAATACATACATTTGTTGATATAATATAAATGTACAAGCCGCCAAAGGTCTACAAGAGAAACTTGCAATAAACTTACATAAAACGTTGCAATACATGATATGAGGTCACACCTGCTTTCTTTTAACTTACATCTTTACGACACAATTAAACAATCAGAGCTTGATTGTACGACTAGAAAGTTTCCTGTCATCGCCGCAACCTGCCAGGGGAAATCAGGTGTCAACAGCACTAATTAGCCTCGCAACAGTGAGAAGAGCAAACAGCAAGGGGTTCCAGGTGTTGAGTAGTGAAGTGTCTCTCGGGCTTAATGATTGCGTAGATCACTGTTCCAGATTACAATCACTGGATTTTCTGGTCCAGACTCCATTATTTACAGACCGACGCTATTATACCTCCAATATTGCCGAGAGCGGCGTTAAACAACAAAACAAACAAATATTAGTTTTGTATATACTTCCTTTATATAGGCTGAAAATATATAACAAAAGAGTTTAAGGTAAATATGTCCATATTACATTAGATCTGTATTGCTTAGTGGTGAGATGGACAAAACTCAGTTACAAGTAAGTATCAGAAGTTTCTATATGTATTCATTATGAAAACATTTTCTTTGAAACTTGAGTTAAGAGACGGAAGGAATATCAGTAGAAATATTTTACTAATTTAAAGAGTGGTTAATTTACCTGGGTCTCCGTTTACTGAATGTTTCAAACAATTTTAAAATGTAATTGCTTCTCAAAAGATTTCATGTCTTAGACGATTTACCTTCTCGAACACAATACATCAATTATTTCTTTACGAATCAAATACTATTCCAAGTAATATTCTAGAAATGGATGCAATCTAAATAAGAGATAATATCATTAACAACATAAGAAACCCCTTCTGGCGAGATGTTTTATCATCCTGGGCTCT